GGAACGGAAAAAAAAAAAAAAAAAAAAAAAAAAAAAAAAAAAAGGACTAAATAAATAAATAAATAAATAAATAAAATCAGTTGTTAAAACATGAAAACCCCAATTAAAAAAGGGACAAAAATGACAAAGAAATGCCATTCAAAACTAGATAACTACTTTTCACATATGATACAAATGAAGCTTAAAAAAAACCAGAACGTGGAAAAGTAGCTTTCTCACCCATAAAGCAACTTAATACAACCTTGAATAAAAAAAATGTGGTTGCCAGACCAGTGAAGGAGCTGGCAGTGGGCCGCTCCCCCCACCTCTGTTTTCCTACCTGCCTCCTACTTGCCCCCCCCCACTGCTCCACAACACCACCTTTGAATATAAAAGAATAATAATAAATACATCCTTTAAAAAATGTGGTTGCAAATTCCATTTTCTAGATCCACACCTAAGGAGCTTGAGAGTTGCCACTCCATCCTAACAACAAATAGAAAGATGAACAAACTGACAAATCAACAACTCTTCTAAGATCTGGAAGAGAAGTGAGGTCAGAGGACAAATCTCCAAAATTGAAGAGACAGGCACATACAGAGAATCACGACATACTCATTTATACTGCAGTATAAATTCCCAAGCAGAAACCTCCACAGTAACTATTGCCAGGGTAGGATAACCTGAACTGTACTTGATGAACTGCTGCAGCCTCAGTGTGAACCAGTCTGAGACTTAAAAACTCCACGGGGACCAGTCATGGGGGGCCCTCCCATGCTTTTCTGAGTTCTATTTCCAGGAGCTCAAACAGGTTCTCACACTAAATATCAAGGAAAACTCTCTTGGGCTTCCAACAGGGGGAAGGAAAAAGGAACCATTTTGAAGGAAGCCAGAATACTGTTCTTAACAAGGTCTGCCTTCAAAAAAACTAATAAAAATCGCTTCTCGGCCTTTTGGCTAAGATCAAGTGTAAAAAAACTAATTAACCGGAGCCTAACCTGCCATGGTTTTAACAGAGAATAACTAACCTGTGGGAAGGGAAATGACCAACTCCATCTCTTTCTAGCCATCTTGTCAAACCTAAGGGGGAGGAAAAAACTAAGACACACTTTTGCAGTTCACAGTCCAAAGGCATAAGCCCACTAAAACACAGACTGAATCACAGAATTATTGAACGCTTCCCCTCCTCCCACACATTACTATAACATAACCAAAGGCCTATCTACAGCAGTTCTTTTTACTTGGTACTTCGTGTCCAGCTATCAAGAAAAAGTTACAAGGCATACTAAAAGGCAAAAACATAAGTTTTTTGAGCAAACATCACAACCGGACACAGCAGGAAAGATGAAATTATCAGACCAAACATTTAAAACAATTATGATTAA